CGTTTCTCGCTCTTTCTACACCTTTATTCCTACCCTTTTAATCCCTCCTCACCCCCATCCCCTGTGAGCTACTGTTGAGGTGTCGCTCCCTGAAGCAGACAGTTGCGAAGCCCACTTTTCTTCTCCTTTCTCTCTCAGAACCACTTAGTAATAAGCCGTACCCTGACCGTACTCCTGCGCGTGCAGCTTCGCGGCAGCAATGGACGACACCGCGCGGAGAGCACGGGAACAGCGCCTGAGATGTCGTCCAGCCTCGCCGGCGGGGGCGACGACGACGGGGCGGAAGGCGGCGGGCAGCAGGCCAGGCGAGGCGTGCTCGACACTCGCAACGTGGTGGTCAACCTGCGCGCGCTGGCAATCACCAGCGTGGCGGTGGACACGTGCAAGCTGGCGCTGGCCACCGTGACCGCGGTGCGCCGACAACCCAACCGGGGCTTCGTCTTCCTCGCCTCCATCGCCGTGTGGTCGCTGTCCGCGAAGCTGGCCGTCACGGCGGCCAGCCTGGCGGCGTACGGGCTCGTCTTCTGGGCGGCGCCGCGCGAGGCCCGCCGCCCCGTGGTGATCGCCGCGGCGGTGTTCGCGGTCGCCATCGCGATGCGCTTCCTCTTCATGATCGAGGGCGCCGTCGTGGTGCTCCAGGAGAGCACGGAGCACACCGCCAACGCGAGTTGGGAGCACGATGCGGCGCACCTCCACCACGTGCTCACCAAGTCAGGTACGTGAATGCGAGGACGGTGCCGGAAGAAACTATAGGTGGCTTGCATTGACGCCATCACCGAAGCAGCCGGATTGGAGCACCACCATTGGGGGGGGACACGAAGTCGTGATGATATTTTAACGTAGGCGTACGCAGGGTCTAACCTTAAGAGACAAGAAGAGAGCAGAAGGATTAGGGAACAAACGGGGGTTAAGGATATCATCGTTGAAATCAACAAGAGGAAATGGACATGGGCCATGCAAGTAGCTCGTAGACAGGATAACCGGTGGTAATTAAGGATAATGGACTGGATTCCTAGAGAAGGCAAGCGGATTAGAGGGAGACAGAAGGTTATGTGGGCAGATGAGATTAAGAAGCTTGCGCGTATAAATAGGCAGCAGCAAGCACAGGACCGGGTTACCTGGCGGAACATGGAAGAGGTCTTTGTCCTGCAGGGGACGTAGTCAGGCGGATGATGATGATGATGATGATGATGACGCACGGTTTCCCCTTAAAAAAAGAAGGGGTGGAGGGGTCAAGTGACGCCCCAGTCGAGTTTGTAAAGAAGCTTTGCTGTTAACGCGAAAATTAAAATGAAGTAATGACGAGTTTCCCACAACTGCCTGCCTTAGGACCTTGCCTGTCAGGGGGTCAGAATTGGGGGTGTTTCGGATTTATTTCGAAGGAAGGGGGTCAAACGCAAGCCTCCTCGAGATACGAATGGTGGGGGTGTATGACCGAGAAGAAATAATGAAAATAGGCGTTTCTTTAAGGCTTACAACAAGTGCCATCCCCCCCTTCCCTAAACCCGCGAAAAAAGTCCTGGCTACGAGCCTGTCTAGGAATCTCTCCCAACTTGCCAATTATGTCTTGCTGAAAGGCAGCCTCGGTGAAAACTATAAAGGTTTAAATAACTTCGCTTAATATATTGTGAGAGCAAATGACATCCAAAGAAGCCTAAAGCCCGAACGATGAACCAAGTCATCAACGTAGTCACCCAAAAGTTCAATGTACGACATCAAAAACTCGTTTGACAAAAATTAACGTCTCATTCATATTTAATTATTTATGCAGACAAAAGTATGCAGACAAAAGGTATTTTTGAGGTGACCAAGATATTGACTTCAGATATACACACTGTTCATTACCATCTGCAGGATTTTTCTCCAGGGGAGCAAACCCATGTTGTGTCATGGTTGGAGAGAGAGAGGGGGGGGGCGCCAATGTGGCTTTGGTACGGGGCGAGGGGATGATACTTTTGTAGCTTGCAGGGGGCAATTGCCCTTATCGCACCCCCCTGCCAACACCCAATAGAGTGTTTTAAACAGCATGTTTAGTTCCTTTAGGACCCGATACTTGGTCTAGTTTTACCTGGTACTAGTTTTAGACAAGGCTGTTGTTGAATAGTTGAATGTCCTAATGAAGTGCCGTACTACAACTACACTATTGCTATTTTTAGAATATTACAGTTCATTAAATATTTTACACGGCCCCCTTGCTAATACTGTATACAGCCATCACAAAACAGTAATTCAGTAATTTGTTCAACTCTATATGCACAAAAGTGACAATATTTTTATCAGACATGCCCAATGATCTTTTTAGGAACCTGGCAGCTTTAAGTATAGCATAATCTGGTTATCGACCTTGAACTGTTGCAAAAGCTTTTCCTCCGCCATCATTTTATAGGGCCACCGAAAGATGTTTAGGCCATAATGTTTTATTCACAGTAAGTCCAGCTGAATCCAATTGTTCCTGAAATTTCAAAGGCATCAATTAAGTGTTTCCACTAAGGGTCTAATGATTCCAGTGTTTTACAGGCCAAACCAAGGTAATATTATCAGGTTATGTTGTAGTGGTTCACTAATAGGTTGTTCCGACCCTTTGGGTTTTTCTAACGTGAGCATAAATCTAAGTTCACAGACATTTTTGCGTAGTGAAATTCAGTATCTTGCTTTAGGAACGATCCCCCTACTGCAAGTAAAAGAAAAAACCGAGAGAAAGATCAAGCCACACAGGTTTTATTTACAACAAATTCATTAAATCTAATTGGCCTTTGAACAGTACGCTGGTAACAGCATGCACAGATGCTTCAAGTTTGCATTTAGAATTATAATTTCAGAAGCCAATTCTCCACCACTAAAGTAATTCTGAAGATTACCAATTATTTGTACCATGTGCCTCCTTTAAATAAGCAAATAAAGCTTGTGTTACTTGCCCTCTATTAGACAAACACAAGTATAACAGCTAACAACCTCCCTGCCATTCCCTCATTTTACTGCCCCGCCACGGTGGTCTAGTGGCTAAGGTACTTGGCTGCTGACCCGCAGGGCGCGGGTTCGATTCCCGGCTGCGGCGGCTGCATTTCCGATGGAGGCGGAAATGTTGTAGGCCGGTGTGCTCAGATTTGGGTGCACGTTAAAGAACCCCAGGTGGTCTAAATTTCCGGAGCCCTCCACTACGGCGTCTTTCATAATCATATAGTGGTTTTGGGACGTCAAACCCCACATATCAATCAATCAATTCCCTCATTTTACTCTCTCTCTCTCTAGACAGATGCATTTTAAGATAAAAAAATTGTTTCAGTTACTGATCTGTGTTCATATAAATGGGGGAAAACTTGCACTGCTATATTAAACATCAGAACCTATAAATTGACCAACGTTTACAAGACAAAAGAAAGACGACAGAACAAAGCACCAGTGTACATTTGAATTAGTTTCACAAGCGAAAAATGATTCAGGCAGGGTCCGGCTGCTCATAGTTACTTGTCAATTAGGTAAAAAGAAAACTGAATTGCACTAAAATTTTGGTTGGGTTTCATAGATTCTTACTTTTTCATCAAGAAACACCATAACTGCACAGTAAATTGAAGGATTAATGTGGAATTCTCGTAATGTATTTTTTTCTTGCCCACAAACGACCCCAACATGCTAGCATATTCTCAAATTTGTGGTGTCAGTCTACTGCCATCTGAAGCTTTCTTAGCTAATTTCATCAGTACCATCTAAAATTTCATCAACACGAATCACCTACCAGAACATTATGCTGCATCTACTCATGGCATCCTATACTGTAAAGTTAGTGGACCATATTTTCCTCCCCACTCTCCTGTATCGGAATCTATTAGAGCAACTGTTCCATCTCTGACTTGCAGAGCTTCACGGACCAATGGTGCACCTGAAGCATGATATCTTGGATGCTCACAGTGCCAACGCCTATGTTGCACCAGCGCCACCTACACCAAGAGTTGGGGACATTGTGCTCAAGATATTGCAAGCGAACATCATTCACACGTGCTCTGTGGCGGTGCACGTCGTTTTTCTTCTGGTCATTCGGAAGTACATGCGATGCACAAAGGTCAAGCAGCGCCTTGACGACATGCCAGCTGAAGCACGGACGTGAAGTCTGAATGACCGATGACGCACGAGATAACTGTGCGTGCATGCTTAATGGTACAAAGGAATGTAGCGGGTATAACCATGCAATCTGTACTACGTAATGCCATGCAATGTGAGCGTCAGCTCATACAGAGACAGAAATGTGAAAATAGTGAGACATACCAGTGCCATGGATGTACATAACGAAAACAAAAGCACGCATTTATTGTCATCACTAAGTGGCAAGAAATAACTTCCCATTCTTTAACATTAAGCAAACATGAAATTACACGACGATTCATTGCCTTGCGTCGATCCATCCTTCACACTAATCGGCAGCTTGCAAGAGGACCAAGAAACGATATTACCGCAGAGCTTACCTGGATTGTGTTTTAAATCTGGCGCAAAGCGTGGATTCCAAGCTTCTCCGCGAACAACCCGAGACAGGGCGCGCCCTAGTGACAAACCAAACAAGCGTGGTATGGTTCGGTATCATGCTCGGTATAAATAAATCGGCGTTCGCATTTAGCACCACTGACCAGATTAGACGGCAGCTGAGAGTACGTACACAACCAATGCGGCGTCTTGTATGAAGATGTCCATCATCTAACACACACGATTGTCTCGCGCAAGTCACCGTGAGAGACTGCGCACATAAGCGCAAACCAATGAACACACAAAAAGCAAATGAGTTTTCCAGCAGTGACGCCGGCTCATGAGTCACAGTGGGCGTGATCCGAGAAAATCTAAGTAGTTATGCAAACCTGCTCATTAAAGCACAGAAACCAGGCAGAAACACTCGGGGAGGAAGGGAAGACAGCACTGAGCAGTACAGGCGCCGTCGTGGACGTGATAAGGGCGCACTACCAACAGCTCTACATTTCCGGTCGCCACGGCAGGAAAGGTTAGCACAGGACACATACCTGAATGCCGATGGCAGCACGGATTCGCCGTCGTCATTCTTGGCGTAAGGAGACGGTAGGTCGGAGTCCTTGTCACTGAGAACGCGAGCAAGGTTCTTTATTCCCTTGGTTTTGCTTGGTTTGCTGGTCGAGTCGTGCGGCATGTTCTGGCTGCCAACGAGAGGAAGTTCGCTCTTGCAGCAGGCCAAAATTGCAGTAGCGTTTGATGATCACCGATGTCCTGGCAACAGTAAAGCTATTGCCGAACAAGGACGCATTTCGTGCAAGCTTAAAATATCTCGAACCTATACGCAGGACATGCAACACGCAAAGGTCGATGCGCTGCTGCGAGGGTAGACATGATGCCCGAGAGACGGTCTCTAGGAAGCGTCCTGGCTCTCACCTCTTATGCCTCTCAGTAATCCCGACAGCCTTTGTCGAAAGATGAACGGCCGTTCATTTGATTACACGGGAAAATCGTCGGGCACCGGGCACATAGTACACAAAGTGCCCGATGTCCTGTCAAAACACTTCTCAATTAATGGTTGTGATGGAGACCGTAACGGCACCTGGTGAGAGTACTTAGAAGCGTAGTTGTAGAGTTCGCTTGTACTATTGCTCCATAACGCAGGTGACTACCTAACATAGACGTATGATTGCGTTTAAAACCGAAACTGTTTTTTTTTTTACTCCTTGAACATTGCTATTGACGGGTGCAATTTAAAAAGAAACAAGTACGCTTGTGCAGTTAAAAATGTTCGCCTGCTTGTCATTCTTGGAAAATGAGGAATGTATGTATTTCATCTTAAGAACTTATACCGCGAAACTCAAATTCACGAATGTGTGTGTCATTTCAAAGATGCTTTCCTAAGAGGCTGCCGCAAATGTCATTTCGAACAGTGTTTTCCTCATCGTGTTCTATGGAGGGCGCGACATTTTTTAGCCCTACCAAGTCGTGCGTTCATGGGCGACAAAGTCATAGCTGTGAATAATATTGCACCGCATTGTCGCACCGTTCCACATTATACGGTCTATCCGGCTCACGAAAACGGTGTTTCTGGCACTTCGTTTCCCTTCCTCTCTAGGAAGTTCATGATGAACGAACCCAATCAGCTATACAAAGACACAGTTCGAGGCATGCGTTCGACGTAGTTACACGAGTAAATTTTGGGGTCAGTCTTCGTCGGAAGGACCATATATGAATTGGATAGTAGTATATCTACTCGACTGGCGTTGTTCAATTCAATTCATTCACCAGTACAGCGTAATTAGTTTGAAAAATTGAACAAAAATAATGTGACCATGGGTCACCTTCCCGTGCGCGACCGTCAACCCAATTCGGTAATTTCTCGGCGCGCAGATAGCTGCAACTAATCGTCTAGCTACCGTAAAGCCACCGCTGCCATAAACGCCATGAGACAGTGTAGAATAACCTCGCCCATGCCATCTCTCTGTTCCGCTTCAATAATTATACAATATAGAACATTCAGACCACCCATATTCTCCCCTGTAATTCAGCATTGCCAAAGGTCTCATGACACGTTAACAGCAGCAAGACATGATACAGTATATAATTACACGGGTATATAGTTCATTCAAAGCAATTCTTTCTTTCTTCCTTTTTTTTTTTTTTTGCCCATGTCTGTTAGAAGCACGCCAAGGTCAGACAAAGTTTATTATGTATCCATGACCAAGAGAACCTCTGGAAAGATCCAACGAACTGGTGAGATGGCTTTTTATAGCAGTTTCATGATTACTGCAGATGCATAAATGACAAAAAAAGAAGAAAAAAATGGTGGGCGGGTGGAAACATTTTCATAAATAAACTCTTCATAATGCGTGTCACGTATTCATGTCCTACGATTGAGCTTGCCTAGCACTATATTACTAGAGATGTTCATTACCAGAACAGTGCTCCTGCAATGTGTCAGATTAAAGCAACATTTGGCAATATACATGTGTCATTTATACTTGGGAGTTGTTACACTGAACTATGCTGCGCACGCTTTAATACGTAGGCGATATGTGAACGAATTTCGGCACTTATTTCTAGAAAGGCACATGACTAGGCCTGTGGACATCGTAAATTTTCGGTTCGAAACGAGTTCAAAGTGAATAGTGATTTGGACAAATGATTTCGATTCGAGTAGTATACATTGCATATTTAATGACAAATGGGTGCAATTGTCAGGATTCGAGTTGCCTGCGCATTGTGTGTGTGTGTGTGTGTGTGTGTGTGTGTGTGTGTGTGTGTGTGTGTGTGTGTGTGTGTGTGTGTGTGTGTGTGTGTGTGTGTGTGTGTGTGTGTGTGTGTGTGTGTGTGTGTGTGTGTGTGTGTGTGTGTGTGTGTGTGTGTGTGAGAGAGAGAGAGAGAGAGATTACTGGTACAAAGCATGCACGAATGTTAATTCTTTTTGGTTCGAAGTGAAAGGGAAGCAGGATTCGTATTTCTGCAGGATGGTAGTGATGACAGGTAAAATGCATTAAGTTTAAAAATTTACTGTGCATGAAGCATACAAGTTCGTAAGGCAAGCTTCTAAACTTTTAAAATGTTCAATCTACGTGAGTGTATTTTTATTTAACCTTAAAAAGGCCTTTTTTTACAACATAACCTTTTATGCAGCAGTAAAACTATCTTTACAGGTGGTTACACATGATTCAGTATGCATTTATTAGCTCGTTTTGAATGATTTAAATTTGTATCTAAGCATATTAAAAAAATACCATAATATTTGTTCCAATACCCTATGTGTTCAAATAGCATGTGCCTACGCATGACCATTCACTTCCAACATTAGCACAAGTAACTTGCAGCCAGCAGTGGACAAGGCCACTTCAGTCGACTATTACTGCTGCGAGAAAGTGATTGCATAATGTAATTAATTACTTGTACATTACATTTTTTCCTCTAGCTTTATAAACTGAATACAGTAGCCCTTGCGCTACTATGAAAAGAGAAAAAAAAGATTACAAATTACTTTGCATCCCCCTTCAGAGCCACAAACAATGCGGATCCCAAGTTCAAGAAACTAATGCACTCGCATAACTTTGTCTAGGTAGCACACAGTCAACATCAAAGCCAGCTAATGAGGCCCTACACCTACAATAATTTTCTGGCACATGGTCATGACAATTTTTTTGCAATAGGCACATCACAGTGGGCACACGCTGCGAGGTGGTAGGTCAGCGTATCTACTTGTGGAAAAAACATCTCAATGCTGGCATTATTTCCAGCAAGGAATGTTGCAAGGCTGTAAATGAGATGGGACACTGAGAACACCAGCTTTGGGGATGTTGGCCGGTGCAATAATGACAGGCAACACACAGTTTATTTCTACATATTTCCTAGTCATTTATTAGAGTCTCTTAGACAATAAGTTAACAGCATACATGAACAATATCTTTTGTATTTACTTTCAACAACAAGCAAAAAAAAAATAGAAACAAGTGGCCAGGTGGTCTTCTGGGAGGAGGTGCATGCTCTACAGATGTTTATTCAATCTGGAGCCACGACAAAAAGAGATCACTTTAGTCAAACCAAACAATAAGAGGGAACAATCATAGACAGTCATGCTAAGTTTACTAGAGGGAAATGTAGCCCCAGTGTGTACTCAACTATCATTGGAATAATGAAAATTGATTCGTAATCAGTCACAGGAATAACAGTCCTATAGATAAGACATGACACTGCTGTCTTTGCTTCCGTAGTTACTTTTTTTATAGTCATAACTACATCATGTAGTTAAGACTATAACTACATGATGAACATAGAAATAAAAAATTTTGATGTAAATAAAGCAAATCTACAATTTTTCTCTGTGATACCCACATTCGATTACATGAGTGCTCATAACTAACATAAAGTTCAAGTTTTTATGTGGCATGATATTTCAATATAACAAGGCTGAAAAGTATTGTAAATGTGAACTCAATTTTTATTGAAAGTTTACTAAGTACAGAAATTAGGGAACAGTTTAATTCACCTGCCTAGCAAATTTAAATGTTTTTGGAACGCTATGGCAAAACTGTTGGGAATAGTAATCTAAGTTTCCAATAACAAACATGAAACTACTACAAGTTATTCACTGGAAGGAAAGTAGACCGAAATAATTGCATGGAATTTTCATGTGCAGGCATGCTACAGAGAAACCTTGTTGTAGGGCACGCTAGCTTCACATATAAGCATCGAAAAACAAGTTCAAATCAGCTTCCTAGGTGAAGCCACACCTAAGTCAAAGAATAAATGGTTTACTAGGCCACATTCCCATCATGCTCCAAAAACTCCACTGCAGTATTTCCTTCTACTAATCGTAGCGTGAAAGTCCATGAGAACAAAAGACAGCCAGCATGTATGTTTTGTCTGTGGGCATGAAAGAGTGAGCTTCTCTTATTCCGTCGACATCAAATCACTCGCACGGAGAGAACTTCGGGTTGACGGGGCACTGGGTGAAGGAGCGGAGTTCGTACGGACGATCTCCATGAATGGTGGCTGCGTCCAAGTCGCTCTTCCGAAAAACGATGACGCGCACATCTGTGTGCAGATAGATGCGTCCCGACTTGGAGCTTGCAAACCTAGAAACAGTGATCGGAAGGTGACCGTTAGGTTCACTGGTTGGGAGCGATTCTTAAAGGGGTCATGCACGGTGTGATACCCTCATGTGATTACATAACTCTTCATAACTAACATGGGCTTGGCAAGAAAACTCGTTCTGCGAACAGCAGACGCTGCTACGAACAGGTCAGCCAAATCTTTCAATCGTGCGTGGCAAGAAGAGCTTACATGTAGAGTGCAAAGTCGCCATTTTCTCGCGATTGCCCGCTTTTCATACAGGTGCCTGTCCTCACTCTGCTTCAGAGCTGCCGGCACACGCTGTTTCGATGTCAGGCGGCAGTTGGCATGTTGTTGGTCAATAGCCGGCATAAATCAAGAACATTGTTTGGATATCAAACACGGTTCCTTCCATAGAGTGCCGCCACATGCTCGTGCTGCGCTGTACAGCCTTCTAGCAAGGCAGAAAGAGCCACACTCGCACTCAGAGTTCACAACGGGAGAGAGTAATTTCCGTTCATGAGCGCTTAAGGTGACATTACTTCTTTCCCCTGTGCCATCTTTTCCCGAGTAGCTCCCAAAGCGCTCGCCGTGACGAGAGAAGAAAGAGTGCTTAAAGTGCATGACAAAACCCCTATAAAGCCACCCGTTCTTGACGGATTGAAGAAAATTTTCAAGTCCCCTCATATTGGCAGAGATCAATTCACAAAGCAATAAAATCCAGTGTGCTTATTAGGAAAGGTGACTCATGACCCCTTAAAACACTGGTGAAACAATCCAATCATGCAGACTGAAGTGATTTCGGGGAAGATGCACAGATAAGGGCCTAATTTTCAGATTAGCAGCCTAATGTAGCAAACGAAGGTTACATGCATCTGGTGTCGAGTAGAAGCAATGTACACTCCCAGCATATTGCCTCCTAGGCCTTCCGATGAACTGTGGGTTATGCCCGGCAGGCATTACGGTTCTCAGCACCTTAAGCTACGTACCACTGCCCGTGAGAGGTAACGACAGCTTTTTTACTTAAGCTATGAAATGTGATTACGTCTCCTTGTTAGCCTATCAAGATGCATTCACTCGTATTTCAAACACTTGACTTTGCACAACGGCTGCTCTCTATGTAAAATCCAAGGTTTGGCATGCAGATCAGAAGTTTTTGCCGATACTCCTTCAAAACTGAAAAAGTTAGTGTGCAACAGTGTGAATGAGCATGAACACGAAACATGACAGTGTATGTTTCGAAAATGACGTGGTCTCGAATAAGATGCGGCAGTAAATGAGCACGAATAACTATCTAATAATAGAGGTGCAAATCGCAGCAGGATGCAGCATTGCAAATGAGTTCTGTGGCAACCCGCAAAGTGCTAGAAGGCTTAAACAAAAAGAAAAGAATACAACCACGCATTCGTAGCATGAAGCCACAAGGAAATCCAAACCGATTTCTTAGAGGCTTTTCATTCTGATATATTCGTTGGGATTTCCTTGTGGCTTCGTGCTTCAAAAGGACGGTTGTCTTCTCTCCCTTCCTCATGATGCAGTGTCATCTGCTGCGATTCAGCTATAGCCAAAGAGGCACGCCTAACTTTTCACCGGCAGTCAACGCACCTGAGGTGAATGAGATAACGGAGCCACCGACTGGCCTCGGGATCCTTCTCAGAGGCATCAGTGGGCATGAAAAGGGTGCGCTGTCGAATGAATGTCTGGCAGTTTGGAGGCATGTCCGAGAGGTCATACCGAACAACAAACATCTTCACCACCGTCTTATGCGGGTTGAACAGCGTCTACAAAGCAAGAGAATGGAGAAACATCTGTGGTTACAAAAAGACATATGACGCATACAGTAGAGCAAAATAATTGCACTTGTTCGCCTCCCAAGTGATGGCGCAGCAGATTAAACAAAGGATACTTCAATGGCACTTGGCCATATTTTAGAGCTTTAGGATTTAAACATGAATTTCAGGCTACCGTGGAAAATCTAAAGCCGCCACAATACGAAGTTTTAAAGTTGTTTGGCTCACTTTTCAATACAACTGGTTGTACCGACTACTATTGTTCTTGATTGCACCATATTCAAACCTGGAGTAGCAGACTGTAGGCTATATCAATAAATCTAACAACTATAGCGAGCTCTACAGCAATTATCTAGTTACTCATGAAAATATGAAACAGAAATTACATAATTTGAGACCACCATTCTGTGTGAAAAAGGTGCGTCACCTTACTTTTTTGCCGGGCAGGACCATTCATTCAACACATGATGGCTTGCTACCGTCATAACTGAGCATTATGAATGACAATGATTTATAGGAAGTAACGTTCCAAAGCCACCATATTATTATGAGAGACGCCGTAATGAAGAGCTCTGAAAATTTTGACCACCTGGGTTCGATAACGCGCACCAAAATCTTGAGCACACGGGCCCACAGCATTTTATACGGGAAGTTAAAATGCACAGTCGCAGCCGAGATTCGATTCTGCGACCTGCAGGTCAGCAGGCCGAGTGCCATAGCCACTAGACCATGGTGACGGGGCTTGAGCATTGTGGGTTAGCTTAGAAACAATATGAGTAAACTACCAGGTATGTCAATCGAAGGGTGCAACTACACAGGCACACAATATTGGCCCAGTGAAAACACGAGACAGACTACTACTGAAAGCTCTTTCTGTGTGCAAGCAATCATTCCAGCCTCTAAGACACTTCTAGCGCCAGTGCAATTTGAGAGGAGTGATGCATAAGTCACTATTTCCAAGCCAATGGATGTGATGTACATAAGGGTAAAGTTATGTGTAGCTTGGTAATCAGACACGAGATTATTGAAGAAAACAATATCGACCATTCACCTCAAATATTGTGAAGAAATCATTGTTAGGAGATGGTTTTATCATACCTTCTGACAAAGGATAGCTTAATTTAATGTTTGCAGTCGCAGGTAAAATACCCACAATCAAGAAAATAAAGAAACTAAAGTTATGAAACCAACACAAAGATATAATAGAGTAGAGTTTGTAAATGCCTGAACACGACCAGAAATATTTGCTCGGCAATACTATAACAAACGTAAAATAAAATGTCGGAGCAATGCAAGAACATCTAGAAACAGAACAAGGAGAAAATAGAATGGCACATTTGGCCTCTCTACAAAAGCATGATATACTCACCACTTGTATTGTTCCCGTCTTTGGAACATGGTAACCTTTCATGCCAAGGTTTATATGACCCTGCAAAACACAATATGGTTAACCGTAAAATCTCATATTCACACATTCAAGGAGAATTCAACCGGTTATAACTTCACTCAAACTATGAGAAATTGATAAACAGGGGGCGAGTGCTGGAGCCGGCGCTATGGCAAATAAACTTGTCTTTTTCAAGGCTGTAAGGCAGTTGCAGCCTTGTAAAAGACAAGTCCACCTGTCAAAACATCGGCTCCAGTGGCCCCCTCCCCTCTTGTTTGTGAATTTCTCATCACAAGCTTCCATCCTCTTCTTCTTGCCTTTATTTTGGATCTCAAACTATTATGTACATCCTGTAATGTGTTACTCCTTACTTGTAGTTGGATAGCATGCCAATCGAGTGAAGCACCTAGGTTTTAGCTAGATTCATGTGAAGCCAGAACGATCAATAAGCTGCTGCAGTGATATTTGGTGAGTTTTTACAAAAATTTCACATGCAGAACATTTATTCTTGGGGGAAACTGTATCTTCAAATTTGGCCATGAAACCATGAATAGTGGTGATATGTTAACCCAAGTAGCTTTTTCTCATTTTGAGCCAGGTTGAGTCGCGCACACTGAAAATTGGCTAGTGTCCTTTTGGGCTGGATTTTTTTTAAAGTATACATATTATGTCTCGTTCAGAGAAGGTGTCAAAGCATTGGTGGCTAGAGCACAATTGTCCCACATTCTAAGTTCTGCTCTCAAACTAGCATGCTTTCAAATGTGCCACTCATAGCCTTAGGTTAACTAAAGCTATAAGTGAAACAGATCGAATACCAGCAATGAAAATACCACAGCATGTGATCAAATGGCATACAGCTTAACTAAACTGCCTCACAAGTTGTCACAGCGAGTATCATAGGCGTCAGATAGATCTACACACAAGAGTGACGAATGCAGAATGGAAATGTGTGTGTGTTTGTTGGTCTCAGGTTCCAAGTGTACTTTTGTCAGGCCTTACCAAATAAGGCGAGACTACTTTGTCAATGTCGTGCAGCGAGTAGAAGAAGACCGTCACTGGGAGTGTGATGTGTCTTGGGCAGAAGGATCCACTGGCACCGATTTCAGCAACAAATCCCTGCACGGTGCTTACTGGCTCCAGTCGGCCATTCAAGACAGACTCCTATTTGTAAAAGAAAAGAAGGACGAAAATAGAGGTGACAAGGAGTTAGAACAGCAGAAAAGATACATGTAAGTAAACTTGACAGCCTTCTTTGGCTGTTGCTGGAAAATCTTTTGGGAGTAAGAATCGTTCAGTATGCCTGAAGGAAGCCGTGTTTATTCTCAAATTACTCCACAATGCTTGCTGCCTGTGGTCCTAGTACAGTGAACAAGAACAGAGGTTGAGGGGATCATATGTTAACTATAATACCATATTTTCTTGCATGTAACCCACCCTTGCATATTGCCCGAACACCTAACAATAAGAGTACAAAAAGAAAAACCAATATACATATAACACTCTGTATGACATGCAAACCCACTTTTAAAGCACATTCTGCCAAAATTTGATGCAGGTTATAAACAAGAACGTGCAGCAGCATATCCTTTAATGAATGCAAGCAGATTTGTGCGCCCTTTAAGAAGGCAATAAAGAATTAGCGAACTATGAAAAAGATAAGAAAATGTTCCCTGATGCCACATTTCTTTGTCACATGCAGTCCCATTATATGCAACCGTACTTTGTGAAGAATACTACAGTGGCAGCACATGCCTTTGCCCCACACTGTCACATCACACGTGACTGTTACTGGAGAGAAATATAAGAGGAAGATAAGCAAGTGATACCTGAGTGAGAAAAGAGCATTAATGATCCATGATGACGAACACCATTCCCATTAGTTTTTTTCTTGCATGTCGGGCATAAATTAAACCACTAGAGCATAATTGTCTTAAACAAAGCTACAAAAAATGGCAGCATATCCACGGAGTGAATGATGGAGAGTGGGGCGAAGCATTCGTCCGTCCATGCGTCCGTCTGTGTGACCGTTCATGCGTCTGTTCGTGCGCCCGTCCCTGCGTTCGTTCATGCATCTGCCCCTGCGTCCTTTCATGCGTCCATCCATGCATCTGTCTGTGTGTCCGTTCGTCCATCTATTCAACACTCCAAGTCCCACCATCTCGCATCTTTTTATCATATATTCCCTATATAGAAGCACCGCCATTCAGTGGACATTCCAAGGACTAAACGAGAGGTGGCACACGCACACTTTCTTACGACTTGTGCTTCGGGTCTACTTCCCACCTTCAACCACCTTGAGTTGATGGTATGTACTAGTTCACTGTATTCATGGCACTGCGGCCCAATGCTCGCTAAACCTTTCTAAAACCAAAAAGGTTACGCCCAGCGAGTATAACATAGCAACCTTTTTCCTGTCAGATAGTGCTCAATGTACATGCCAGTGGCTGCTAATGTGAAATGAGAGACAGGAGGATTCAGCTTTTAATTTCTTACGGCTTGCGCTTCGTATCTGCTTCCCCCCTTTAACCACCTCGAATTCATTCATGGTATATACTAGTTCATTGTATTCATGGCCCTGCCGCTCAACGCTCGCTAAACCTTTCTAAAACTAAGGAGGTTACACCCAGAGAGTATAATGTAGCAACCCTTTCTTGTCCGATAAGGCTCAATGTACATGCCAATGGCTGCTAATGGGGATCGCAGTGTGCGCGTTGACTAAAAGCCGAATGCTCCTGTCTCTCATTCCCCATTAGCAGCCATTGGCATGTACATTGAGCACTATTTTTTATTGTTAAACAACGCACAGAATAAATCTCTCACCGGCACCACCTTGGAGGTCAAATGTTATACCTATTTCGGGTATGTGCCACTAGTGGTTACATACTACGAGGGACGCACAAGCCACACCCTAAGGAGCTTCGTCCCTAAAACATTTAGTTAAGGTATATTGCCCACTATGCTAGATGATGTAAAAGAAGCAAATAGCTAGGAAGGAAATTTCCAACCGCTCAAATTTTCAAGACATACTAAACGGACATCTCATGACAAGGTTACATAAAAAGGGACACTAAAGAGAAACGATGACTTGGTTTACATTGATAAACTGCACTCTGAGAACTTTAATGTCATAAGTTTCACTATTACATGCTCACTATTAGCGGAGGAAATCAAAGTGAAAGTTTCATTGTTAAATTTCGGACCGAAATCTTCGCACGAGACGTCAAAAATTTCAAAATGCATTTTTCGTATTTTTGTTACATTGGCTCGATGAAATTTTCCAAAACTTCATACGCTATGTCTATGGCACCCGCAGATGACAATGTGCTTTATTTTTTTATCAATTTGAAGCCGAGTAGAACCCAGCGGATGCTTTTAAAATCTGACATCACGATGTTTTCTGCGAGAATCCCAATCTCTGCCGATATTTTTTTTTTCACCTGTTTTCTAGGTTACCAAGCGCCATCTCCCAATAAGAGTGGTGTTTCCGGGATTTCGAAATTGAACTTCACTAATAGGTACTTAAAAAATCGTTCTTATCAATAGTGTCGCTTTAAGCTTTGCATCGCGAGACACAAGTTCAACATACTTCAAAATTAACAATGAGGCTGCTCGTGGTGGTGGATGCTGGAGCACTCGAGCTGATTATTTCTCCCGCCAATGCTTCCTCTTCCTCAGGTTCTTTTTCAAACAATGCCCTGAAAGAAAAGAAAAAAACAAGCGACCGTGGCTGTGATCCATTATTCGACAATGCACAGGAGTTTGAGTTTCAGTTTATTCAACCACGTGACAAGTACACGAAAATACACTGTATACTTGGTTTGGTGCGAAGGGAAAAAAAGCTGCATTTCACAGCTTGACTTGCCCCTTCACCCAGAAAAAATCTAAACTACAAATTTACAAAAATTACAGGCAGCGGAAAAGCGACAATACAAAAAGAAACACGCCTGTGGCCCATGACAGCAAATAATAGAATGACAACTCTGAAATACATACAAAAATATTCACAACAAAGCAATGTATGAAAGAATAAAAACTGAATAACCATTACAGAAATCACCCAACATTCATTTACAATACAATCAGCACATCCGATTTAACATTTCAGTTTTAGACAATATACGCAGATTATCAGTTATTAGTTTCTAGCACATCCGATTTAACATTTCAGTTTTAGACAATATACGCAGATTATCAGTTATTAGTTTCTATTTGTTCATCAGACTTGGAAGGCGGTAACGTAGTGTTTCAAATCCATAGTTTGCGCGAGGACAAGGTACGTGCCAAGTCTCCGTACAACGAGACATCCGATTTAACATTTCAGTTTTAGACAATATACGCAGATTATCAGTTGTTAGTTTCTATTTGTTCATCAGACTTGGAAGGCGGTAACGTAGTGTTTCAAATCCATAGTTTGTGCGAGGACAAGGTACGTGCCAAGTATCCGTACAACGAGTAACGCGACTGGCAGGATTTGGTTGCAAGGTGGCCAAGGTGGGTAAAAAGATACTTCCTCTGCGTATTTCCGATTTAAAAGCTGACAGAAGCTGGTATTCGTAATAACAGGTAATTCTTAAAATTCTATATTTTGCAAATATTGAAGCAGTGTGTTCGTTATAGGATACACCTTCAATGCACCGCAAGGCATATTTTTGTAACACGACCAGGTTCTTTAGAGATGCTTTAGAGCCTGTAGACCAGACCAGATGACAATAGTGTAAATGTGAAGAAAAAAGAGCATTGTACACTAATATTTTTTGCTTCACAGGTAGTATGTTCTGGCATCGACACAACACACCTAAACTTTACAAAGTTTGTGACTAATGTGTTCGGCATGGTAATTCCATGCCATGTGTTCGTGAAAATGGATGCCGAGAGTATTAACTGTTTGACAAAGTTTAATCTCAACGTTATTAAGTATTAGTTTGTGAGACGTTTCAAATGACCTGGCTTGCGCACGGAGCAGTACAGCGTTGCTTTTAGAGCAATTAATGTATAGAGAATTTGCCACAGTCCAGGCATATATTTTATTTACTATTTCATTAGCAGAAACAATGAGGTCATCAGCCATTTCCCCAGAAAAAATATACTGGTATCGTCTGCGTAGATTACATATTCTACAGATCTGTCATTACGTACAATATCGTTGATAAAAATATTAAATAATAGGGGTCCCAAAATGCTACCTTGAGGTACACCATTCTTAACGTTCATGGATGATGACAGCTCTCGATTGATTGATACACATTGTTTCCTATTAGATAAGTACCTTCTTATTAAAGCTAAAACGGTACCGCAAATTCCATAACAGTCAAGTTTTCCTAGCATAATATCATGATTTATTCTATCAAAAGCTTTCGAGAAATCTAGAAATATTCCTAGGGTAAGTTTTTTTGCTTCTATATTTCTTAGAATCAATTCCTTTTGGTATAGTAAGGCACTCTCGGTTGAGAGGCCTGACTGAAAACCGAACTGTGACGACGTAATAATGTTGTGTTTATTAAAGAAATTAGATAACCGAATGAAAATAAATTTTTCACACCCCTTAGAGAAAACTGGTAAAATCGTAATTGGCCTGTAGTTTCCTAAATTGCTTTTGTCCCCACCCTTATTTTTCATTCTCTGAGGAAACAGCCCAGTGGTGAACACGAGATTATAAATATGTACTAAGCATGCGCATATGAGATCTAAAATGTACATTATAGGTTCTAATTTTAAGCCATCTATGTCCTTGCTTTTACTCAATTTGAAATGCTGAAAAACGCTGATGACCTCTTGCACGTCTGTAGGATTAGCAAACACAGAATTATTTAAAGCAGGAGGCAAATAACCTGATGAATCACAATTATGACTACTGTCAACTAGTGAGGTAAAGTACTCATTAAATTTGTTTGCTAGTACTGTGCCCTTGTATATTTTATTTTCGATCACCAGCTCACTAATATCATTACTCACCTGTTTGGTAGATATAATAGCATTAAGTTTGTTCCATAATTGCTTAGAGTCAGTGACACCGTCAAACATCTTGAAGTGATAATCAGGTTTAGCTTGTTTTTGTGGTTTAGTGAGTTTATTTCTATATACCTTAAAAGCTTTGAATTTATCCGGGTCTCACTTTATCAGAAACTCTTGATACAACCTATTTTTTTCTTTTATCATATTGAGTATTGCGGAAGACCTATTTTTTTCTTTTATGATATTGAGTATTGCGGAAGAAATCCAAGGTTTTGCGTGCCCGTTTTTGGTCTCTTTAAAGCTTTGTAAGTAAAATGTTTTTTATACACAGAACATAGAGTATCAATAAAACAATCATAAGCAAGATCAGCAGAAGAACTAGATAGAATGTCGTTCCAATTTAGAGTTCTGATTTCCTCTCTAAAAGAAGATAGCGTTCGTGGATTAATTTGTTGAAAGTGAATGGCAGGAAGGATTTGACTCCTTACACTGGTTATGTTTTCTATGGCTAGATATATGGGCAAATGATCACTTATCGTGGCACGCAGGACGCCTGCCTGTAATGTACTGTTTGTACTACTTGTGATAAACAAGTCTAATAGAATATAAGTGGTATCATTAATACGTGTTGGAATGGTAATTACGTTTGTTAAGAAAAAAGAAGCAAGAAGGTCTGAAAGTCTCATCTGTTTATGTGTGTCGCTCAGCATATCTATGTTAAGATCACCTCCCAGCACTAGTTTGTAATTAAATTGGTTTACAACGGAAAATAGGTTTTCTAAATATTGAATAAATGAAACAAAATTGCCACTTGGTGGCCTGTAAATTACAACAAAGATGTAGTTCTGATACTGTAAAGTTAACGCCTCAAGGTCATCGGTGCACAGAGACAGATCTTCACGATACTCATACGTTATTTCAGCTTTGGCATACAAGCATACACCACCACCAATTCTCAATTTTCTACTTTGGTACACAACATTATATCCGTCAATACGAAACACGTCTGTTTCACAATGGTACCAAGTTTCAGTCATCATCTAGAGCTAATTACAGATTAATTATTAATTATTAGGAATTACATGCAAGGAAAGAAGAATAATAAAAGCACTGGGAAACCTTTGCAAGCAAGCTGAAGGCTCTTGCTAGATAACAAACAAAACTGACTACAGCAGCAGATTTGTTGTTTTGCATTCTGAAGTTGCAAAAGGACAGTGAGAGACTGTATACAGGGCACACTCAAAATTAATTACCTATGTCTGTTAAATGCTCGTGAACTTACAACAACGCGCTAGATTCGACACTGTCTTCATATACCTAGCAATATATACCTGGCAACCTTGGCAAGCTTCTCCAGGAAATGTGCAAATTTCAATCTTGGTACTATGATTGGTATTATGATTGTATTTTATAATGTGCTTATTAAGCTGAGCACAGAGTACATATGCATATGGGACAAGCCTTAAAAAAAATGTAACCACAGCAGTAGAGACTCACCTCTTAATTGCAGACACAGAAGTCAGGCTGCTGTCAAAATCAAAACTAGCTCCAGATTTTCGAAGAGGAGCCTAGAGTGATCACAAAGAAATAACACAAGTAAGTGATCTGACCATTCAAAGCATTCCAATTACTTTTTGAACGAGCGATGAGCATTTTGATTAGCTCCCATTTTTTGTCGCAAAAGAGTGACAGCATAACTGTGGAATAATCCAGCAACTAGTTATAGCAACACTATTTTGAATAGTATGTAAAGTTGAGCTTTGTTACAATAATAATTACTTTCCCATTAATTTTAGTGCTTCCTCTTAGGGTTTTCTTGCACTGCTGGATTAAAGAACACGTGAGCCTAAGAACATTTCTGAGCCCTAGCCATTCATCAGAGCAGATTGGCAACATATGGGGCAGCTAAAGTAGAACAATACATCAAGATGAGACCACTTTTTTAAGATAGTTCTTTCAAAGTAGCACACAATATAGGTAGCCTGGCAAACATTGATCTGGCAGTGCACTCACTAAATTCACACAAGGCTACAGGAACTGCTAGAGACATGGGCCAATCAAGGCTGAATTCTCAAACAAGTTTGCCAAAGTTAGTCTTCCATTAAGCTTTAAGAGGATTATAATGCTGTCCACTTTTCCCTCTATTGTACTGCTGAAAGGCAGGCTATTATCCCTTTATCACTAGTTTGAAGAGGAATCAGTTTTAGTGCTTTCATTAATAACTGTAATTTACATTGATGCAATAATTTTACAACTGATACGTAGCCATAATAGATGCCTACACTATCGGTACACTCAGTTACAAAGCCTGTTGTAGAATAAAGCTTCCTCCCGCAAGATCATTAACTTTCCTCTCCTTGATTCCATCCAAGTGAACTTTCTAATCTTATTGGTAGATCAAGTCTTCTGTCGAAGGGAGTTCCCCTTCCCTAATAACACAAATAGATCCAGTGCAAGGCCAAAAACAGACTACACTGTCATCACAAAGCCTGCAATGTCTCAATGCTGACATTTACGAGGGTGTTATGGTTTCATGTTACTTTAGCAGACCATCAATAAGCTGTTGTGCCAACACTAGACAATGACAGCTTTGCACTGGTCCAGGTTTATGGGCAAACTTTTCCAGCGATTACAAGTAGGGATACCCACAATTCTTTGCACACTCTGCACTTGAAGCCAAGCTGTACCAACTCATGCATAGTACCGCACTTGGGAAAGAAAAAAAAACAGAGATCAGAACTGCTTAATAACTGTGGGTGAAGCCCACCTTCCAGGGGCACAGTGGCTATTGGGGATTGCCGGGCATGGTTAAGCGTCACATGTTTGCTTCCTAATTCCAGCTTGGACAGTCGTGTCTCTCGTGACCAAATGTAGAATGTCTCGCATAAAATGGCAACTACCAGACACGGCTTACACTGGTATATTACGTACCGAAATGTTGTGGTGGAGTCGAACTATAGACTAATGTCGCTATGTTTGTTGGCGAAAATTCTGTTGAGGTCATGAATGTGTGAATAGGTGTTTATATGTGCAAACACTGCTTTTGCTGATCTGTGTGCTAGACTGCTGGCTGACATATTGTGTGTTTCTGAAAACTTTGCAACCAAGTGCTGCTTTCTTTGGGACCATGCAAAGTAGAGTCAAGCAACACACACACACACACACGCACGCACGCACGCACACACGCACGCACGCACACACACAATAATACTCACAGGACTAGAAGTTAGAGGCAGCCCAGTCTTCTGATGGAAGACCATTGAGGTGGCACTGTCCAAAGAGCGGCGGAACTGAGCCCGCTCCGCCGCTGTAGGCACTGGATGATTTCGTGCTTTGCACAACATCTGAAGTGGGAGTAACAGTGAGGCGTAAAGCTCGCATGCCCCAGCCACTTTACTTGCCAATAAAGAAGACAGGCAGGAAACGAGTCATAGGAAAGGAAGGACAGAAAGAACTTTCTTTCAAGATGAAGCACCATTCTATAAAGAGTAGCCTTGAAAGAAGCCATGGCATTGTTGATGCTGAGAACCTTACAACTTATGTACTGTGAACGAGATGAAGTGGGCAAAGTCAGAAAGCTCGTTAAGCAAATTAAGCTGCTTTTAATGCAACAGCTTTATTCATTGCACTGTGGTCAGAATTTCTCGGTAATGGCTCATTCCTTTGATGTGTGTAGTGTTTGAACATTTTTTAATGAGTGCAGTGATGATGCAGACAAAAGAGATAGGGGGGACAAACCATCTTTGGTTACATCATCATTGAGCAGTTTTAAAAAGTCAACGTTTAAGTTCGCCCGCCAACTTAGAATCCTTCCCCAGAGTGTAATAATGTTTTCTACAACTTACGTCAATCTTCTACTTAGATCCGTAGGATTTTAATTCATTTAAGTATCTCTTTTCTGAAGAAGTTTCATCAGCAGAAAAATCTTTTCCGAGTAACTGCAATGTCCTTCACCACAGTCACCTTGTAAGTTTGGAAACAAGGACCGATTTTAAAGGGACTCGGATATAGTTTTGATGATATTGTAAAAACACTAGGGGCCAGTAGACTAAGTTCTAAGGGTCGTTTATAACTAATATAAGCTCTCTGCATAAACAATGCAATTTATTAGAACACATTAAAGCTGGGAATCACTGCACATCACTACGGCTTAACCAAACGCATTTTCAACTGCCCATTCACAGTACAACGTCTTCTGGTATTGCAATGTCACCCAGGCTGCTGATTTTATTGGCTGTGTAACCTGCCGATTTTATTGGCTGGTAAGATTATGGCACCTGTCAGAGCAGATATAAACCACTCCATGACCTTCATTTCTGTTGCCGGGTGCACTGGGTGATGGCCTCTGAGATTGCACGCAACCTATAGGAGTGAAATCTTGGAGGTCTAGACTGATTGAGATTAAGCTGTGGAGTTTAACACATCCCGAAACCACCATATCATTATGAGAGATGACGTAGTAGTGGAGCTCCAGAAATTTCAACCACCTGGAGTTGAAGGTCTCGATCGGCCAAAGCTCAAATCGTCAAGCGTGCTCATGAGAGCTCTGCGATCACCATCAATGCCAGCATGTCAAGCGCGCTCATGAGAGCTCTGCGATCATCATCAATGCCAGCATGTCTCACGAGTTGAGGGTGCAAGGCAAAGGTAAGAAGGAGGGTGTGATATAACTGTCCGTAGCAGCCTTGGTACGCTGTGTGCCACTAAATCTGTGGGGCGAATGGTTTGATGATGCTCTAGCCCAAAAGCTTACAAAATTTCGAATAAAAAAACACCTTTCAGGGTCCCTTTCAAGTCAAATTACGTTGAGCGTCTATCACTAAAACAAGCCACTTTCATCGTGTCACAAAATGAACAACAATTGTTGCAATTTCAAATGAGTTAAATGATCTGATCTCTCCTTCCTATGGAATCTCGGACGAAAAAAAAGACCACATGCCACATCTCTGATCAAAGCATGAGTTGCATGCTTAAAAAAACAAAATTTTGCGATTCTGAATATAGCATCATTTATTTGTTCAACTATGCTATGGGCAAGATGTTTTCAAACCTGCAGATAAGAACAAAATGACATGACTTGTGATAAAGTGGAAATAACTAGTCAGGCTTCAATACAATTTGGAGTTGTATGTATGTCTTGGGCCTTGTCCCATTGCTTTTCGACACAACCACTGGTAAGCTCTTTCTAAGAGGCAATGAAATCGAAGTACACTTTGTAAAACACTTCTGACGATGCTAACAGTTTGGACTGCAAAACCATCAATTTGTAATACTACAGATGGTATTTCCGTGTGCAAACTCCAAATGTAAGGTGCTTTGCAAGTTCCACATTACAACAGGGGTTTCTGCTCTTGATGTAATTAAAGTCCTGTGCTTAATTTTGACACAGTGCCTATCTTCTCTGCAATCATTTACACACTTGTTAGGGTAAATTGCAGTTCCTTTAAATGAAAGAAATCAAACGGTAGTCATATTATTGAATAACCTTCTAAACAACTAGCAGTTAATCTACAGTAGGATTATGAGCCAGATTGCCAAACATTTGTGTGCAAAACTAGCTCGTGGTAACTGAACAAATTTTATATGTCAGCAGCCTGCAGCCAATCCAGTATGATGCAGTAGAAATGTAGCTTTATTTATCATACTCTGCTATGAGGCCCATATGCACAAAGCATCAAAAATGCCATAGCATATTTAGTGACAGTCACTGTAAACTACATTTTATTGCTTTCAAATGCATAATGTGACTACTAATTGCATGCAATGACTGAGTTAATATTTTAATACTATAAAAAAGACTACAATTGAGGTTTCACAAGCTTTAAAAATGCTGGCGCTTTAGAATATTATTTTATAAGTAAAGGTTCAAGGCTTACAAATCAGGTTTGCCTGAATTTTAGTTGAAAATAATGCTAATTCACAATTTTTAAAAGAGACACGTAGGGTGAAGAAAATGCCACATGTACAATTGAAAACTTATATGACAAGGTCAGTTGACATTTATGATAGATTTGGTGCTGGAGAAGCTTTCGTGTCAATATTTTGCCAGCAATCAACAAAAACATTTTCTTTACAGTTTCAAAAGTTTAAATAATACTATACCCTGCCTTTGGTTGCAAATGTTTACCAAGACCACTAAATATTTATTGACTTTGTTAAAACCACAAAAAACTTTCTTCACACTTAGCATCATATATATTTCATGCAGTTTAGCAAGTCCATACATAAACTAAAAGCCTAAATGGTGCTTCAAAGCTTGTAGTTAATAAACTATAATCTTTATTAATTAGGTATGTATGAAAGACACGTCTGTGTAACTTACAAAAGCGGCTTCTCACTTAGGTAACTCTACTAAGACGGCGTACAATATGCTAACTGCCCGCCTAGGTGAGAATGAAGACGCAAAATGTGCCCAATCTTCATCGACTGCAACACTTAAGGACGTTCTGTAGGGGAAGGGAATTCATTGTTAAGGAACTAAGGCAAAGAAGCAAGGCGACTGCTAAAGAACAAATCAATCATTCCTGACTGGACACTGCAAGCTACAATGTCGGTGCATTTACATACTATGCTGCCAATACAATTATCAAGAAAATAATTATAGCAAATTAAATGCAGAATTTCTAGCAGTGCACCATCAGAAATAAAAGTCCTTGGGCCAAATTTATGCCTGCGTCAAAAGCTTAAAAAGCCACCCTGCAAATTGTGAGATCTGCCATTGAGCATTGTTGCAACACTCTTATTAAAGTTCGAATGAAGACTATGAGAATGGTAAGTTTCTGGTGCTTCAAAGGAGCGAATGTCCCACATGAATTGATGCACAACAGCTCGACAAGTCTCATCAAGCACTCAGTGGCTTCAGAATTTGGGACAAAGCTTACACAAACAGCGACTGAAGCTGTGCTTTATGCTTGCAGCTTGTTCAGTTTCGCGGCCACAGCAAGGGACATGCACATCGTCCAATGTTTATGAGAAGGCATGCTTTTTTGGAATTATAGTGCCTTCAAACTTAGAATGCATAGTTCTTCCAATGACCACATCGACTAGTATTTTCAATGACAAAACTGAAGCATTCTATTGCAGACACAAGTCATTATAGCCACTTGTAGAGCATTGCAATTAAGTCTACTTAAAGGACACTGCATGACACATCTGTACCAAGTTGTGGTTTAAAGACCAGACAAGCAATCAGCAAAAAGCGTAAAGACACACATCAGTCGCTGCTACAATGACCTCTGGAGAATGTTTAGCCAGAGTACTTCGCTGTATACAGTACAATAAAGTAAGAATAAGAGAAAGATAGTCAAACAAACAGATGGCTAAAAGAGGCAACAAAAGCAACATAGCATTTTATTATAGGAAAAGCTAAGAAAAAAATTTGCAAGATCTGATGTACAAGTACTGTCCCTACAAAGGCATACAAAACAAGACAGGTCAAGGCAGGAGTTAGAAGGCACCAGGCTTCTCTGCAAGTGTGTACCCACCTGCCTCACTTTGTGCTTGTGAATGAGGTTGTTGAAGATGTGGCTGCCTTTTCCAACCACTCCATCCTTGAGCTTCAGGTCACACAGACCTTCGCTCCAGGTTTTACTGTGCCCTAAACCTCGCTTATTATGATTCGCTTCTTCCTTGTGAGCAGCAACACCACCATCACACTTGCTACCACTAGCTTTCTGCTCTTTCACAAAGGTCCTAAGCTCCACTTTGTCGTCAGTCACCACACTAGCCACACACTGGTCTTTCACATTGGGCTTTGACGTCCTTTCAAAATGAGGCTTGGCAGCCAATGGCTGCTCCTGTAACACTGAACAAGAGCTGCTAGAGATCAGTTTGTGTTTGGCAGACGGTTTGTTGATGTGACACAGACTCATGTCCTCAAAACTATTCTTCAATCCACACTGGTCGGGCGAAACAGCACGAGCAAACTTATCGGTTTGCTTGTTTTCGCCAAGTTCTTTCACACTTGTGATGACTTGCTCATTTCCGAGCAGAAGTGGCGACTGAGGGGTTACTGGAACAAAAGACGCTTGTGGTTCCGGAGCCTGCAATGGCATCGCCAGGCTCCTCGCTCGGATGTACTGCTGGTTCGGCCAAAAAGGAGTGGGTGCTATTTCCTCCTTTCTTGGCTGCACCTGGTTGGAGCTGGCAGTCGGAGCATCTAGAGCAAACACATCTCCGGGCAGCGACTCTCCGCTCTTCTTAAGGAAACGCTCGATGACAGGGCGCCTCGGTGCTCTTCCTCGTTTGTGCTCCGTCTGGGCTTCTCCACTCAGCTCCAGAGGCGACTGAGCTTGGCTCCCAAACAGCAAATGCTCAGGCACCTCGACACTTGGGCTTCCACATCGCGATGGGCTTTGGTACCGCTTGGGGTACATCTGGAGAGACTGGGGGGGATCCAGAAGGCTTTCCCCCAACAGTACATCGGCTGACAAGTCGCCCTTGCTGTGCTTCTTGGGCTTGCGCTTGGCAACCGACTCTTCATTTCTTATGAACCCATCGTCATTGGCATTTCTGTTGGATTGACCCTGAAGTGTGGCAGTGATGGTGGGTCCCAGCGGCTCGTTAGGAGCTGCGGGTGTAAGAGGCACGGATGAATGCTTGGCACAGGCAATAGCCGGTATGCCATCTGGACACCTAGGCGCAAACTTGACAGAGACCTTGAGGCAAGTGTTGCGCCCAAGGCCTGCCATGGGAAAGTTTTGGACTTCAGGGCTGCAGCGGAACTTGCTGGAGAATGCCTCTCCTGGCACAGAGATCCTGCAGAAAGCACACGCACAACACACACAAAAAAAGGCTTAATACTTGCAAAGATGACCATGTCCCAATAATGGCTCTGTCATGAGAGCAGCTGGTTATATTTTTGAAGACAAACAACAGTCACTACACTACTTCCAGAATACCATCCATCTCCTAATCAGCGACCATTCAGCTTTTTATGTTTCCTCGTTAAAAGCTCGGGTTCCTGTTTTGTTTTTGTTTTTTCGAAGAGAGACACAGGGCAAAAAATAAACGGGTTACTATTAGTATGGGGGTCAACACAGTAGCGGGTCTTTCTAGAAGAACCACCTAGTATAAAATTTTAAAGTAAGCCAGAACGATAAGTTAGATATGAAAATGCAGTACTGATATATGCTACAAAAAACACCGACTGCCATTATTCAATGATGCACAGCAGTTTTTCGATCTAGTTGGTTATGAAGATGTGTGGTTCAAGTATATTCAATACATCCTTATCAATAACAAACAAACATTCAGGTACTGTGATGAAACTATTGTTAGACTACTGGGGGCATATATATAATATGGCATCGGTCACAGATGTTAAAAGCTGCTCTTTGGCATCTTGAAATTTTTCACGTAAGCCAACTTGTCCCAACCTCCACCTTACCTGTTATCACTAAAATTCTTTACAGTACCATAATAGCATCACACCACGTGTTTTTCTTTACCAATGCTTTGTCACCCCCTTTGCACATGAGTCTTTAGAGGCTGCAGCCGAATGTGACTATGAACCAAACTAAAGACCTGTTGTGATCACTTAACTAAGCTTCAACCAATACTAACTAAATTGTTTCTTATAGCTCTCAATAATCTAAAACTTAGCACAGCAGCCACAGTTCGTGCAGCTCATAACTGTTTTTTCTTCTTTCTCTCTCGCAGCTTGCAAGCAAGGAAGCTTCTGCAGTTGAACTAGCAATTCTCTAGGATTCCACCTAGATCTTATTACACATCAGTCCCCCGAACATTGCAACACTACCATACTCTATGCATTGTGCATCCCAAAAGTTATTAACATGGGTGGCAAGAAAATACCCATGCAGCGAAACTCGTAAATTGCACACCTGTAGTAGATGCCTCGAGGACTCCTTCCATGCGAGAGATTATACCAGGAAGCGATCTGAGAGAAGGAAAGGTAGGACCGCATCGCGTGGAGTAGGCTTTGTGCCGAAGCGGTTGTTTCTGAAGCACTGCGGAAAGCAAAAGAAGCAAGCTCACAAGCTGATTGGAAAATAGAGAGCAATGTATCCATGCAGATCAACAAGCAATCATTTGCACTTGAAGTGGTTCATATAAAGGTCACTTGAAAGCTGTCGAGTAGAATGTGAAATTACACAATAAGTTTACAAGCACTATGACCTCGTGCAGTATGCACGGATTCAAACGGGACATCAAATTTTGTTCAAAGTAATGAACGGTATGCACAGCTTCTCGAGATAACCACATCATGTCGCAATGGACTTGGCCCGTAAAAATAATTTTGACTCTGCTCTACGCGTTCAAGTCTAAATTACGCAGATGCAATCCGAAATGAAGACAGTGCAAAAGGAAGAATATGCGTCACTTAGCCTTCAATTGTCCCATTTTAATTCGTGAGTACTGTACAATTTTACATGTTTGCTAATTTGGATGATGCTCAACACGTCTAACAGCTCATTGTTTCTGCGATGGATTCTGAAGTCGTTTTATTAAAGCAAGTGTTTAGGTACTGCGTGTTTTGCATTCTAGGCTACAAACAACTTAATCAAAATATGAGAGCATGGTCAAAAGATGCAGACATTTGATATCCTGGACGCTATATGTGCAGGTAATTCTAGTACAAGAAAGAGCCCAAAGGATATTTTACCGAAAGCTTGCAAAGACAGGGCAGTATGCTGTTGTTTACATAGCATTATTATTGTAACTTTTTGTCATCCGAACGTAATGAGGTGTGACACGTATGCTCATAAAGTGGTCAACCACATACCTTTATACCATAGGTTTTTCAACACAAGGCAAGTAAAGCTTCTCATAACTCAAGACTTAAGGGGGGACGTGGCAAGTAAAACTAATTTTTTTATTAATGTACTGTTTGTGATGAAATTTGGTGTGTGTATGTGGATGATTGTGAAGATTCCAAATATGAAAACCGTTTTCAAATACCTCTTGTACTTTTTGAGTTACAAGCATAATTATACTAATTAATGCTCTTCACACTTAAAGAGATAATTATTGCTAAATGAAATTATTTTTTCATATTATTATGTTCCCAAAGCATCAACTTGTGCAAAGAAGCTATTAGTTGATTTTTCTAGTTCTTGTAACCATAAATAAAATTTCCAAAACATGGATGTTGTTTTGCGCACACATCGCAGTAATTATAAAATGTGTTCTAAAAATTTTAAATGATGAGTAAGAAGAGAGATAAAGCTTTATTGCACTGCTAAAGGCCTCCTGAGCCTAGTGCAAAAAACGGAACGACTCTATCAGTCTTTGTTAGAAAATGACAGATGTTCTAGCGAAGGCACATAGGCGAAAATCAAGAGTTGAGAAAACTGACTTTGAAAGTTCACTCTTGTTTGGAAGTTCACAACATGCCTAAAACACTCAGAATCCTCCTGGGCAGTAATCCTGAGATGCTGTGGCCTTGGCCTCTGTAGAGCGCAACCCAGTTTTGCGCTTCTTTGTCGTGGAACAATGCGCCTTTTTGAGCCCTCTTTACCCTTTTGGCATCCTTTTCGGCTGCTCGCCGCAAAGAGCAGTCTCCTGGATTGAAGCCCAGTTGAGCAGTGATCTCTTGCAGCGCACTCTTGCAGCCACCATTGAAACGGCAGACTGCATCTGCAACTGCACTTTCCACACTTCGAAGGGAGGCGAACTGGCTCTTGGACTGGAGTGACCAAATGAGGCTGTTCATACTCTCCACAGCGTTCTGGGTTTTTCCCTGCGCACACCTTTCAAGGAGCTCTTTGTTCGAGAGGCGCTTGTAGATTGGCAGCAGTGCCACTCGCACGTGAGGGGGCAGTTTATGTTTGTGAGGCGGCAGCGGCTCTCCCTTGGCCAATGCCTGATTGTGCGGGCACCAGGAGTCGGTCCCACTTGGGCACAGGTTGTGGTGTGGATCCTGGTCTGTGGATGTTACATGGTAATAAGTGGCCATGATGGCCCTCTCCATGCCAGGAACATCGTTGGGGTGGCTCTTAATGGCCCAGCCATAATAATTCGTCAACTTCTTTATCAGGCCCTGCGTCAGCCGGCCTTTGCCACCCATGCTCAGTCCTCGGCCTTTGGATTTGTGCTCATCAAGAAGGTTGCGCAAGGAAGTGCCCATTCTTTTTTTCACATGGTTCACACACTCCTGTTTCTTAATCACCATGTAGCCATACACCTTGTCTTGCGTGAGGGCAAGGTACGTACGGCTGTCACCGTCGCAGAGCACATTGATGTATCGAAGCTTGTACTTGGTAAACGATCTTTCAAACATGATCCTAGCTGCTTCTACTTCCATTTGGCCTGCATTAGCATCGGTGTTCTTTTGGCACTGTGGCTTGTGTTTCTCAAGCCACTCCTCATAGTTGTCGTCACCAGGCTTGGGGCCAACAGCACAGCCTTGGCAGTAGTTGGACAGGACACAGTGGTCCAAGACCAAGCCTGTGTACAGCTCGATTACACAGCCCACGCCAATATGACTTCTGTGCCCCCTCGTCATCCACGTGCCGTCGTAAATGACGTCAATGTTGCCTGGCACTCCTCCTAGGTCCTTGTAAATGTCATGCACCTTCTGTGCACTTTCTGCTTCAATGCGGGTGGCAGCTGATGTGGTGGCAGGGTGGCTGTACTTCCTTTGCAGTCTCTGGTAGGACTTGTGGTGCAGTGCTCGATGCGAAATGTCCATCGCAGAAAAAATGTCATTTATGGCAGATTGTTTTCTGCCAACTGACTGCACAGCCCTCAAAGCACGCACGTTTACCTCAAAGGGGTTCGTTTTTTGTTGCCCGGAGCACCTCGGGGACGACCACGCACTGTTCACTCTGCCACAATTGTCACAAAAAAGTTCCATCCTCGCCGCGAGTCCAAGGCAGTGCGTAGTCTCGAGGCGTATCGACCCTTCGTCGCACTTGTTGCACTTTACTGACGAAAGCAGACCGTTCAGCATCTTATTATTTACAATGAAGAATGTGGAGTCCTTACCGCCGTCATTTTCGTCGCAGCCTTCGTTCAGAAGCTCGAGCTTCCGCTTTGAAGCGGACTTCGATGCTACGGCATCCAAAACATCCCGCCTTGTCTGCGCCCGCTGCGCGATTTCTTCACTGCTCGGAATCTGGGCCGAAACTCGCGATAGAATGTTCGACGCGCGCACGCCCGGAGTTGCAACGGCTGCCGACGCGGTGCCACCGCAATCGGGTTCGCGAGAGCGTCCATCACGGTCGACGGCATCCGGCGGTCTGACATACGACGATGTGGCACCTTCCACACTCTCGGCCTCACAACAATCAGCGAAGGGTCTGAGTAGAGGCTCCGTGACGCTTGAAGAGCATGCTCCGTCCGGAACTGCGACTGGGACGGCAGCCGCAGTCGTCTGCCCTTTGTTCCAAGCTTTCCGACGCTTGCCGTACTTGTGGACGCTCCGGAACTTTTTTTGCGGCAACATAGCACCGCAGTATGAGCAAGCACTCAGAAGAGACCACCGATGTAAACAAAGCTTGGTACAAAAAGCACGCGAACTATCACAAAAACAGCAAACTGGCAAAAAACGAAGCGCACGCCGGATGATTCTCGACACGGCGGCCGCAGATGCGCTCGCGCTTCCAAGGTTGCCAAGGTGCGCGGCGCAGCTTTGACCAGTAAGAGGTCGCGCCAGCTACCACGTGACCCGCGCAGCCAATTGCCGTTCTTCGTTTTCGTTTTTTTACTTGCTCCTCGCGCTTTTATTTTCACTCGGCGAAATACGAGACCGCGACCATCGGGAAGCCGGCTTTCTCCTCTTTCCAAAGCTACCAAAATGGCGGCCCACGTTCAACAACTTGGCGCGTTTGTGCGGCGTGAACAACACCGTTTCAGGGGCTTTTTTTTCGCACTTTTCGGCGACTAGCCTCGGCAAAAACTCTATTTGCGGGATTTGTAGCGCACGTTTCGCTGTAATATTTTAGAACAAGGAAGTTGAAGGTCTGAAGATTACGAAAAAAAAATAAATCAGAAAATCGCATATTTTGACCAAAATCGGCACTTTACTTGCCGCGCCCCCCCTTAATACAGTAAAGTTTTGTTTGTTACAACTAACACCTTGGTCCTGGCACAGCTCTATGAGAGAAACTCATATTTGTTCGAACGCGTCAATATCCACAACGGATAATTTTAACTTTGAGCCCCTGGTTTCTATTGCTTCTCGCAGTAGTCGGCCAAGAGTGATGACAGCATGTTCCAAAACCGAACGATATTAAATTGACTAGAGATGCGAAACAGCGCAACAGTAGCATTAATTTCTCATCAGGTGAGAATCTGGACACTATGTTGGAGATCTTGAGCAAGCTGCAAACGGTGCTCATTGAGTCCCAACACGAGAAAAGCAAGCAAATGCAAAGTTTCGTTGCATTAATTGCTATGCAAATAATGCATGTTTTGAATCATAAAGAGCGTCATATATTATTTCAACATCGAGGCTCACTTCTGACATGAATACATATTGCTGCTTGTTCCTAGCGTGTCACTAGATCATGAAATAACTGTTTGCCTTTAGAGCTTCATAACTTAATGTACATAAGCACCTGCCACAGACATGTAGTAGCACCTAATACATGATAACGAGTCCAAAGGTGGTTTCTTCGGGTTCTGCCTGTGAAGTGTGGTGTGATGTTGGCTCAATGCAGCACCCATCTGCTCATTTGAACCGAGCTCAACTAGAACAATTTTATAGTCCCCTTCCGAGTTTGAATTAATAAGCACTTACTGTATAGGTACATAAAATTTTGGCTCTTCAATCATTACCAGACAAAAGTTGTCAGTAATGGCTATATGCTGCAAACAACAGTAAAGAACTGTTCAGAGAACATTCACCAATAAGAATTTTTAAAAGGCTTTTTAATAGTGCAGATGCAAGTGAGCAAAGTGTTTAAGAGGCCATGGTGTGTATCTTGTCCTACCATAGGTGGGCGAAATAGATGGAACTTGCTCAGGCTCCCTCCAAAAGTATTTTTGCTTCGGCCTCACTTGTGCTCAATCTCGCCAAAGTTCTTGACTAGAATCACTCGAACTTGATCTCAATGAAGGTTTGCTTCCTTGGGTTGACTTGAACTCATTATCATAACCAGCTTGAATAAGCTCACTTGAGCTCAAGATCACCAACATTCCGCTAAACCAGACTCACTGAGAGCCAGACTCCCCAAAATTTCACTTAGACTCTCGGTTCGGTTTCACCCTGAGTGAGTCGACCCAAAGAAGTGTTTACCACAAAAGACGTGAAGGTGAGTCAAAAGACAAGCCAATGAGTAGGTGGACATAAATAAAAAAAAAAGGAGCAATTCCTAAGCTGAACGAGTGAAGACCCGCGACTACCTCCAAGAAGAAGCCAGTAGGAAGAAAAGAGCTGTTACACTTGCGTACATACTCAGATCGTCCTCCTCCTATCATCACGACACTCGCCCTCATACTGACACCTTTGAATTGAGTGGATGCAGTCATTGTAACTGCCCTGACGTATGATGGGAATACGTATAGTGTACCAGCAACAAAACGTAATGAACCTACTAGAAACTTAGTATTCATATGTGCTGGATGTACTATACACGTAGACATAGGCATTTGCAGGTTCCCCTTCAGGGGGGGAGGGCGAAGGTTCATGGCCGCTCACCTTCTCCCTGTCAAATCAATGTACGGGGCCGACTTTGCGATCCCCCTCTCTTAGGTGACAAGGCAGGCAGTTGCCCCCCCTCATGCGCCATGCCTACACTCGTAGGAGTTGTAGAAAATATAAATTTTAGATATAAAGTGGTAATGTCAGATTATTAACTCATTGCGCAAAAGGTAACAATCTTAAGACTGAAGAAATGTACACTGAGTCAGACTCACTTGTACGCGAACCTTACCAGAATTTTTCTTAGCTCGACTCACACAAGCTCTGGTTCGTGTATTGGCCTAAGCGCAAGTCAACTCACGGGCAAGTTTGTCGAAATATGTCACCAATAGAGGAGCTCTCTTCCACTACCCCAGATAACTATTACCAACGCTTCCATATGCAAGCATTGCAAACCCTTCCTATTTTTCTGAGCACACTGTACACAAACATTGCGAACATTTCTTTTTTTTTTCACGCACACTCACCGTATCGGCAGCATTTGGATGAACCACTGTTCTAGCAGAAGATGCGATGTGTTAGGGGCTGCGGAGGTGTCAATGCCACTCGTGTGGTCCATGCTGCTGCACTGAGCACAGTCGGGTGACAGCAAGACTTCCACAGCCATCGGGATGCTGTTCCTCCAGAGCATCAGCATGTGCTTCAGGGCTACCTCATACCGCTGGCACTGCAACAAGAAGGTGGCATACTCCAGCTAAGCAGCTGTGCATAAAACCTGGGTTGCCTTAATCAAAGGGCCCAAAGACACTTCGAAATTTTTGTAACATTTCAAGTAGAAACGTGCATCAAGTTCAGAATGCTGTCACAACCAAAAGCTTCCAACCGTAGCAGTGCTGCAAGCCATGGGCATGCCACAGAATAGAACGTTCTCATGCTCCTTTCTGGGCCCTTTAGTTTGCTGAGCATTGGTCGTGATGTTAGTGCCCACATCTAAGTCATGTCAGCAGCAGCAAGAACGTGTTGTCTGCTGCAGATATAAATGCACTGCCTTTCTCTTCTTTGCCACGCAAGGAGGAGAAATGAACCGCCAAATCAAGTGTAGCGAAGGAAAGAGTGAAATGCATGAGGGCAGTGTTTTGATCATCAAATGCACGTATATCTGCTACTACTTGCACCATTTCAAAAAATTTTCGCAGTTACAAGCATTCGTTGTATGCTTGTGCACAATGGCAACCCTGTGACTAAATTTTGACTTTTTGGGTGTTTAAGGGCCCTTCAAGTAAAAGTATGCAAACTACCATAGAAAGCTAAAAATGAGGTATGATGGGAAAGATTAGAGACAGCGACACAAGGTTCAGAAGGAGGGGCTTGGGAACCACTATTGTGAACTCATTGAGAACAAACAGCTGGCAAAAATACTATGCTTTCCTCCCTTCTCCAACTTACAGCTTTTGTTATCCCCTACACAGGGCACACCCGACATAAGTACCTATCTGCACAATAACCTTACTCTATGACTCTTTACTTAGATGCCAGCCATCTTTCAGCTGTGAATCTGGTCTTTATGGCCAACTATACTAGAGATCACACTTTCACAAAAGTACTAATTTTTCATCCATGAAACATCCCTCCATGTTCTCTCCTAAAGCATCATAAAAATCATGCTCAGAAATCAAACATGTAGTATTTTTTAACGAAGCGCTGATTTTAATCTGGTAATGTTCTATTTCCTTGACATTTCCAGTGATAGCATGCCATTATATGTGGTAGCAAGATGCAAATTTGCACGCTACAAATGACGCTGAACGTAACTTGTGTTGCCTCAAATGTTTTTAAAGGTACTCGAGCAGTAGTGAAGGGAGTTCATTAAGCAATGCTGAATATGGCTTCAAACAAGTGACTGAGGACAGTGTTACCAGAGTCTCAGTGCAATGACAGATATTATCACACTAAAGTTACATATCCATGTATGCTATCATTTAAATATGATGAGAAAATGGGCAGAGAGTACCGTATATGCCTAAAGTATTTCCAATGAGCATGGCATACATGAAAGGCAAAAATACACATTCGCCCTGAAACTGCATACGTGCCTGAAAACATAATTGGGTGTAAAAAGCAAAATAACCTGCCTAGTTTGCTATCTGAGGTTTATGTTCTAAACAGTATGACAGTGAATATGAGAGAGCATGTGGTACCTCAACAAGTGGCTCTTTGTTGCAATCATGACGTGGTTGTCTCGATATAACAGGTTGTGGACAGTGAGGGCCCTCTGTCACGCCCTTCCTAGAAGAGGGGCATCGAATCCGACCTTCTAGCACCAGGCTTCCCACATCGGTGAAGAAGTCGTATGGATCGATCACCACTTCCTTCGGTACTGGGCGCACATCTGCAGTACAGAAGGAGTAGATACATCACTGATTGCAGCAGCACTCTTTTGATGCTCTTGGCACAAGCGTTGTGTCTGCAAAGACTGTTGCAAAGCTTCTGCAAGAGTTTCGAGGGACGTGACTCGACATTGTTTGAAAGTAGTAGACTCGCGATAATTCAAACTCTGACAATTCATACTTTCCGTTAACTCAAACAAAATTCAATTTATTGGACTGCCTCTGTATTCTTTAAATGTGTTTAAAGGCCTCTTAATTCAATGTTAATACTTGCAGTTCTATACAAGAAAATATCTGCTGCCTTCCCTCTACTATTTAAAAGTTTGTATTCTTATGTAATCCTAACAGTCTAAAAATTACCCAGCACTTCAGGCGTTCAAGTAAAAAGGCTTTGCTAGTAAACAAATGTTTGAAACAAAGCACACGCTTTGTGCTGAAGGTAGCACATACCTATAGGCACATACCTATAGTATAGAAGCAGTTGGCAATTCACGATTTCTTTAACAGGTCTGATCAGCAGTAAATGGCCAATAAACTTGTGGACCTTCCTCCTCTGCTTTCTGTTTATTGCGTGCAGTTAGGGTTTCAAAACGCCTAAAAAATTTTCAAATGTGATAATATCAATGCCGAATCATAATGTGTGACGTCACTTCACCCAGAGTCATCTATCCAAGAACTTCTAATAATTCAAACTTCTTGGTAATTCAAACAAAGTTCAGAGGTCCCTTTGAATTTGAATTAACAAGAGTCAACTGTACCTTGATAACTCTGTCCCCAACAAAGCCGCATCGCGTCATGGAAGAAGAAAAAGAAAGCTTAATTGCTGGTTCAGCAACAGTGTGGTGAATTGCTTACCAATGGTTTCAGCAGAGGTAAGAGTATTCATCCTCTCGCATATTATTCTGATCAGTAGGTTGCTTTCATGTGAGCAAATCTTTTGAAATTATTTCCTCTGCTAGAACTTCTATTTCCACATCTGCCTGTATGTGTTCATATTTTGTTAACTTTCAATAAAAATTAATGCATAGAAGCTGACATGCTAATCACAGCCCAAGAAAAACCTTTGAGAGAGCCCATCATTAACAGTGAGTTTATTGGCAGTAGCAAGAAAAAAAGTACTTTTGAGGTAAAGGCACGGTACACTTGGTTATTGGAGTACATGTAAGGCACCACCTAACATGGACCAAAGGGTATATGAACATTTACTGCATGTTTAAAAAGAGCACCTTTTTCTGTCATTTTTTTCGCTTTGCATGTCCTGCATTCTTCATGAATACAGGCATTTTTTTTTTATGAGCTAATGTCTCTTTGTGAAGTTCTTTTTTTCTTTTTCCCCAACACAGCTCTTCGGTTGCGCATCCGAACGCGCGCACGCGGTGCGGCTGGTTTCGGTTTCGTCCTCCTGGTGGTTACCGCGTCTCCCACTCGCAAAGCTAATGGCTGACTAGCTTCAAATCTCGTGACTCTTTCGTTTAATGCTCCCTGGGTGCACTTACATCTGTTTCCGTGCGGTGCTAAATTGCACAAACAACGCTGCCACAGTTACATTTGCTCTTCCGGGAACTCAGAGAAGCCAACTCTGTCTCGTTGGTGATAAGACAAAATAGTATTATAGCTTCCTTTACTCGTTTTGCTTTCCTGACGGGTGCACAATCTACACTGTTTTCTTACGTGTCCTCACTCACGCAGTGCACCTACGCTACGGAAGTGCACGCCAGTTGCTTTGGGTCGAGCGGCGCTTCTTCTGATGTGGACTATTCTCCAAGTGCCGAATGAAAATTTCAGTTCATTAGAGTTCAGTTCGTTAGACAACTACTTACGAGTTTAGACTCAAATGATGATGATGAAGGAGCGACACCTCAAAAGCGTGCTCGACGCGATATGTCCGAACCGCATCAAAGGTAGCAACCATACTGAAGGTGACTACAGTGATCTTCCGTGCAGAGAATTTTTCTTTTTGGAGGAATTTGCACCTGTCATTTTGAGCCAAAAGGAAAAAGAGAATCTTCATAGTACTGCAGGATTTCAGGAATAGTTAAATTCTCATATGACGACCGATAATTAGCGGTCGCAGTGGGCCTTCATCTGCTCTAATCGGTTCCGATTGCATGCACCACGCAAGCATAGCTTTTGAGATTTGTTTCTATTTACGCGGAGCGATTTTTAGTTCACAGGTGGTGCTAGCCTCGAAGTCCACAATGTGCAGTGTACTAAAAGTATATGAATTATTAAAGTCATGCTTTTGTTGTGCGGTAGTGGAAGGGCTAGTCATGAATTCAAGAGTCGCTAGTATGTGAGACACGTGTAATTATAGTATGTGTGTGCATGGATGAAGGTGGAAATTAGTACTTTTGTGCAGGAAATTTCGCTGGGAATCTCTTCAAGGTTTGTGTAGAAAAATCCTCGAAATAGGGAACTTCCATGTCTCCGAATGGGAATTCATCGGCATAGTATGGAACATCACTGGGCGACTATCCCCCAGTGTTTAGTGTTGCAGCAAAAGCATTTCTTACTAGAAAAGTGCTTTTGTATGTCTGTAAACTGTTTTTTATACAATACATAATTTTTATTTATAAAATTTGTATAAGTGTTTTTTAAGAATTTTCGCTTAATGCTGCGTACTAGAAATAAACTGCGTGTACGTAACAACATTGTTTTTTTGTCACTTTACGGTCACACACACACCCAAAAAAAAAGACATTATCGGACTGCATTTTGCAAAAAAATTTGACCCTCACAGGGTTATTGGGTTAGCATTCCTGCTGTCAAATAAATGTAACTTTAGGCAACCAAGAAGTAGCATATGTTCACAAAGACAGACCAGATTAAGATGCTGCAGATGCCTCAATTATGAGCCGATTTGCAGACAACCATGAAATTATATTGACGTTTATGCACGCAATAAATCCTGACCTTAGAATTTGTGCCAGTGCGAAAGACAGCAGTACACAGTCGATTCCTTTTTTTTTTTTCCTTTTGAGTCGCTCCAATCCTTGGAACTTCCACCATTTTGACATTGCCTGCTGTGCATCAGTAATTAAATTAAATAAATATATAAGGTTCTTCATTCGAAGAACAATATTTATTACGAGAAATGCCCCAAAATGTATGTGGAGACTACGCCAGCATTTTGATCCGCATCAGTCTTTACTGGGCTCTACACATCTTTGTACAAAAACCAAGCCAGTAGCCAGTGGGAAGGCGAAATCTGGATGAAAGGAGGTGAGTTATCTAAACCAAGTAGTATTTTAGAAGCTTTTGAATAAGTGCCCCCCCCCCCCCCTCAGCCCACCGAAAAAATGCTGGCACGGGGGGGCTGACAAGAACACTTACTAAACAAAAATTTCACTTATTACATCAACCCTTCCCCCAAAAAAGATATCTGCTTTTGTCTCTGGTTGAAATAGTCCAATGTTCGAACTTCGAACGATGGGAACGCATCTTATCCGAAAACCATATGACGCTGTCCGCGTACAGCGTAGGCCAGCCACCCAGGGCCAGGAAGCACGCACGAGGCACGCCACCACCACGAAGGACGGGATGCGCTGTGGTGTGCGGCCGGGCGTTATAATTAGCCGTGCTGCCAATAGCGCGTGCCACGTGCAGAGGGAGAGAGAGAGCTCGTTCCGCTTCCGCGATGTGGCCTGCCTACAGTGCAGGCTGAGCAGCGCGGCCCTGCGTGTCCTCCCGCCTTCGCCAGCCTATTGCCATCGCGGGGGAGCTCCCATGTTCATGATTACGACGCTAAACATTCTGTCGCTAGTAGGTCTTACCATCAGAACGCGTTAAGCTGTGGTCAGGTGGACTTCGTGCCTATAGTTTACAAGTCGCTTAGCGAGCGGCAATTTGCAGTACAACCGCTGCAACACTGCTGCAGATCATGTGTTTTGTAGACCACGTCCCTCGTAGTCTTTTGCGAGTGTGCCATTTAGCAAACTTCGCAACGACAGCGCACTCTTTTTTAAAGACACACTCGGTGCACTGAAGCACCTCAAGGGTTGCAACGAAGTCCTTTGCAGGACTTCGGTCACACGACGCCGCAATACACGACGCCCCCTTCCGCTTTGTGCAGCGTTGGTCAGCTTGTTCAGTCACTCTTATTAACTGTTTGTTTCCTGGACTCTACTGTTTGTTCCAACACAATACGCACTTGTTAGGCTGACACGGCATTGATTCGGTCCCGGACTAAATCGGTCGGACTTGGTTCGGTCCCGCACTTGAAACTCTGCGACGTGCGCCGCCATATAGCTTCAATAAAAATCGAGAAGCAAGAGAGAGATAGCAAGAAAGAAACTACTTCGCGCTCATTCTCAAAAAGCCAGAGTGGACAGGAAGTGGGAGGGACAACGACGCATCGCGCAGACAGCAAGTGACCCCTCCCTCCTCCCCTGCTATCTCCGGAAAGGGTTCCACGACCTAGAAATCCAATGGGCCAGGGGGGTGGATCTCTGGCACAGAGGAGCTAGCACGAGCCAAGCTGACGGTGCGGCGATCCACTTCGCGCTCTGGTAACCCCGCACAGTGTGTGTGTGGGGGGGGGGGGGGGAGGTGTAGGGCGGGGGGAATAAGGGGGAAAACACATCCCCCCCGCCCTTTGCATACGTGTATGCCATCGAGTCACGCACGCTTCACTTTTACTCGCTGCCAAAACGTAGCGCCACCGAGGGGGGCGATTCCTGGATTGCTCGGCCGCTGCAGGTAGAGAAAGACTTTCCCGCCTCCGTGTACACGACAGCGAACACGGACCGCGCTTGCGGGCTGTTGCCAGGCGTTGGCTGGGTCAGGGCCAGCGCGTAGGCCAGGCAGGGAGCAGTCGCGCGGAGTCCAGCTGCTCCGCTTGCACTGACGCAGCGACGTGCAGCGCCGCTTTCCCAGCTCTGTTCCAGGGGCCGTAAAACGGCAACTGTTCAATACCAAGGAGGCCAATGAAACAAAGAGGTCATCGTGGCGTATCGAAATGCCACTAACGCAAAATAGCGAACATACTCCTTTCCGGAGAAAC